GAAAAGCAAAGTTGGGTCAGGATCCCAACATCATTAGATCAGCTTTCAGATGTCATCTGGGTGGTTTTGCAGGCAAGCATGGAATTCCTTTGAGCTTTTCAGGTTTTTGTCACTTAAATATTCTGGGAATTGAGTACTGTTTGGAAGAAATGTGCTAGTTTTGCATTGAACTGAATTGAACGATTTTATTATCACTTGTATTTTACAGTGAATAATACAGTAAACTACAGTGAAAAGCTTCATTTGTCACTGCAATCTGGCAGCATTTTGAAAAGTTTAAGAATAAAAAGATTAAAAACGTATAACTGAAAGAGAGTTCATCTTCGTTCTGCTGCCTCCGCCATAAGCCCTGAGCCAACTCACCAATGATGCTGCACTGCCACCCCTACTTCATTTCCTTGCCCCCTCCAATGCCGGACCCTCCAACGTAGGAGTTGCCACTGCTCTGGTGCAATCTCTTCGCCACGGTCCCGCCTCGCCAATGCTACCGTCAATGCCAGGTCCCATGCTGAACCCACTCTCGACCCACAACCAGGAGACCCCAGCTCTGCTGCCGCTGCTGCCTCATTGATATCCAAGAGTCTCTACTCTGAGAGAACAAGGTGTAGAGCTGGATGAACACAGCAGGCCAAGCAGCATCATAGGAGCAGGAAAGCTGATGTGTTTCGGGCCTAGACTTTTCTGAAGAAGGGTCTAGGCCTGAAACGTCAGCTTTCCTGCTCCTCTGATGCTGCTTGGCCTGTTGTGTTCATCCAGCTCTACACCTTGTTATCTCAGATTCTCCAGCATCTGCAGTTCCTACTATCTCAGTCTCCACTCTGGGCCTGCCATGGCTACGACCAGGAGTAACAGCCAATTCATCAATTTTGTGAGCTTTCAGCAGATTGCCGAGGTTATTAAGGGGAGGGCACAGCTGGGGCAGATTCTTCGGTGAAATTGACAGGTCGAGAAGCTTTTGATCAGTGAAACTGAAAAGCTCGAATGATGGCGATGAGAGGCCTCTGCTCAGAGCATTCCTTCTGAAAGGCACTTCCAGTGCTTGATGGGTGATTGCCAAATTCTTGGAAGTCACTTCACCTGCTTTACATTTTACTCAGTTGCATTTCCTGGCTTCCATCAGGGTATGGAAGCATCTTATGCAGCACAAGCTTGCACTTAGAGCTGGAGGAACGGCAACACCAGCAGAAGCAGGTAGACAACCAACACCAGCAGGATCAACACCAGCAGCTGGATCAACACCAGCTGGATCGACACCAGCAGCACAGCTGGATCAACACCACCAGCTGGATCGCCACCAGCAGCACAGCTGGATCAACACCAGCAGCACAGCTGGATCGACAACAGCAGCTGGATCGACACCAGCAGCACAGCAGGATCAACACCAGTAGCTGGATCAACACCAGCAGCTGGATCGACACCAGCAGGATTAACACCAGTAGGCTGGATCGTCACCAGCAGCACAGCTGGATCGACACCAGCAGCACAACTGGATTAACACCAGCAACACGGCTGGATCATCACAGCAGTAAAACAGTTGCGTTCTCATCAACCATTTGCCAATCCATGGGGTGAAGGGAATGGGCATAGAGATCCAGTTCTAGGGGCTAATAGAAAATAATCTGCTCCCTTGTAATGTCTGAACACCAGTGACTCAAGAAATTTAGGCTTTCACCACAGACCATCGCTGAAATTTGCAGGTCATTCAGTTTTCCTGCCCTTGATCTACTTGGTGTGCTATCCCCATCCAGTTCTCCTTTGTAATACAAGTTAACATTCCATTAGACCCTTCAATAACATTTGCTTTAAGCAAAACACACTTTATTCTTACTCTGTATTTTAAATACAAACAAAGGAAAGAACTGGAATAACTTAACTATTGGAAAACTTAACAGAATAATAGATTTTTTAACTACGAAAGAGTAAATGTTCCAAGATAGTAATAACCCATAAACATACCCTAGGCAAAGGCAAATTCAGTCAAATAGATTGTCTCACATGCAATTCTCCAGTCCAGGAGGAAAGAACATCATGAAAAAAAATTCAGACAGGGAGAGATCTCAAGCATTTTGCTATAACAGGGGAAGATATATAGCTGTTTCCAAACCCCAACAACTTCTGAAAGTCAAACTAAAATCCTGACTCTGTGAGAGCCTTACCCCACCCCTTCATGCTGCTTCTATTTGTTCCAATTTTAAACAAAAACCCAAGGCCTCACAAGCTATTTACTTTATTGGCTTGGAGCAGAGTACTCGTCACCTCTGTCTCAACCTCTCTTCATAAAAGAAAGGATAAAATACACCTCATAAATCCATAAAACCATCAAATTTACTTACCTTTACAATGGATAAGTTCCCAACACTGGCAAAACTGTGTGAGTTGGAGTGCACTTACTTAATTGACTATAACCTCTGAAATTCTTTGTTCCCATCTATACTTAACATACCTCTAAGTCCCTGTCATCAGCAAACTTCGATACACAGTGATTGATATCTTTACCTAAGTTGCTGCTAAATATGGTGATAAGCAGGAGTGTAATGGCTATGGGGAGGAATAGTACGTCTTACAGGTAGTTCATGACAACAAAGCCAAATAAGGCAGGCCACAGCCTTGTAATGATTCCAAGCAATTTATTATGGCTTTGCCCAAGGACGAGAAATTCACTGAACAGGCTTTAAAGCAGCTGGTGGAAATAGAAACTCTTCAAAATCTTCGGAAAGCATACGAGGACAGTCAGACAAAGTAATTCTGATGACAGTGGAATTTATTGGAAGCTGGGAGCAACTTACAATGTCTGCAGTAATGATTGTGTTTCCGTGGAGATTGCGAACTGTGAAAGGTATAAAAGGAGAACATCCCCCTCTGCTCATTTAAAGTACAAGAAGCCAAGAGAAAAAAAATCATGTTCAACCAATAGTGATTTCAATATTTTGTTATGGGAAAAATTTTTTTTAAATCTTGTGTCATTCTTTTGGCCATCAAATACTGAGGTTCAAATCTCCTTTTAAATGCTATAGGTACCTACCGGAATTGTGATGGAGAAATTTGGGTGCCTTGAGAAATTCATTGTTGACATTTTTCCAGTTCAATAATGATGTACTTGCAGCATTTCTGGCTTATACTGAATCCTCAGACCCATTCCCAGTCAATAATAGGGCTGGGAGCAAGCACTATCAACCAGCAGTGTGTTTTTTGCCCCTATGCTTGCCAATACTTTCTATGATGATGATGATCCTGACACCAAAATCAAACTTCATGTGGATGGGAAGCTAAGGTCTCCCAAAGTTATACTTCACAATTTCTTGTTTGCCAATAACCATGTACCAGCTGCTGGAGCTGGATACACAACATGGCAAAGACTTGTTCACCAATGCGTGCAATTACTTGGTCCTTAGGAGCAGCATGAAGTAAACCAAAGTAAGGTACCAGCCTCCTCCAGGAAAGTCTTAGCTCAAGCCCAAGATTCAGTCCATGACCATAAGACGATGAGACAGAGGAGGAGAATTAGGCCATTCAGCCCATCAAGCCAGCATTACCATTTGACCATGGCTGATATGTTTGTCAACCCCTTTCTCCTGTACCTTCTCCCTGTAACCCCTGGTCCTCTTACTAATCTGTCTTCAATACACTCAATGATTTTGCCTCTACAGTCTTCTACAGTAATGAGTTCTACAGATTCACTACCCTCAGGCTGAAGAAATTCTTCTTCATCTCTGTTCTGAAGGGTTGTTCCCTCATTCTGAGGCTGTTCCCTCGGGTCCTAATCTCTCCTACTAATGGAAACATCTTCTTCATGTCCACTTTATCCAGACCTCGCTGTATTCTGTAAGATTCAATGAGATCCCCCCCTTATCCTTCTAAACTCCACTGAGTACAGACCCAGAGTTCTCAAGCATTTCTCATATGACAAGTCCTTTATCACCAGGATCATTCTTGTTCGTCTGCTAAACTGAAAGTCTACAGAGGAATAGTCCTGCCCATTCTGCTCTCCATATGCAAGACTTGGACGTGTATCAGTCTCATCCCAAGAAGTTCAACAATTTTCTTCTTAAGTTTCCTTCATAAGCTCCTGAATAACAGGACAAAATGACACAACACTGAAACACTCACCCAGACTAATATGCCAAGAGTCCACACCAAATTGCAAGAGTCAAAACTGAGTTGGGATAGTCATTGAACCAGACGCCCACATAGTAGAACAAATTTTCTATGCAGTGCTCCAGTTTGGGGTACGACTTCATGCCAGTCAAAGGAAGCTCGAGAAGGATGCTCTTTGGGTTCGCTTAGCAGTTTTGATGTTGAGTCCTGGGGACAGTTTGCTTAGAATTACTGGCTTTGGGAAAACTACATAAAAAATAAATACTGCAGCTTGTCTCAATTGTAAATGGACATCGGAAACAGAGTGAAAACACAATAAAGGAAATACCATGCCAACAAGCCTTTCAAAACTCAAAGGATTGTGGTATCCTGTCCTGTTTGCAAAGATCCTTCTAATGGGTCAGCCTTACAAGTAACCAAGGCACCCACCAGAAACATGCCAAATACCTGAATGATGAACATGATCATCTTCATGTCAAAGACCTCATAGATAAGCAAGGGCTTCTGGACAAATGACAAGAAAAACATTAATCACCACAATTAGAGCACATACCTGCTGTCTCAATTTCCTGTGTCCTACCTCCCAGGTAATTCCAGAACCGTGCCAAAAGGTTCTCTCAGAAATCTTGCAATTGAAGTTTTGTTAAAAGTCATCATGGAACTTACGGTAACACGACTTGCCTATTACTTCTGCACCCAAGACAAAGGGCCCCTCAAATACTTATTTGTTCATGATGCATGTGAGCCTTTAAAAGCTGAAGAAAATGTGGAGACACATTTAAACCTAAGTTATTTCTACCAATTTTAAATTAATCTCTAGTAGCCAAAACCACAGTGAAAGAAAACTCAGTAAACCAAACAAATTCCATGGATGGTTTCATTGCTTTTCACATGTAATTGCTAACCTGATCGCGGCCTTTTCCAAAGCATCTGGGTTATCAACAGAGAGGAACTCTTCCTCTAGGATTTCGTCTGGATTCCGTGAATCAACGTCATTTCCTACTTTTTCTTTCCTTTTTTCATCTTTCCCTTCAAATCTTGCACCACTGTGCCGCAAAGAGGTCTGTGATTTTGAACCTAGAATTTAAAAGGAAAGGAGATAGCTTATTATAAGTTATACAGAAATCTTAGTTGACAATTTCAACAGAAATAACTTGCATTTAAATAGCACCATTATTGTCATCAAATATACCAAGCAGTTCACAGTGGCAATATCAAACAAAATTTGACATTAGGCCACACAAACAGATTTTCAATAGATGAGTAAAAATTTCAAAGGGGTTTACGTTTAGGGATATCTTTAATGAGGAGTGAGAGAGAGTGGTGGGGGGAAGAAAGATATTCAGCGATATAATAATAATACCTAGGCTGAGACAGCTAAAGACAGTACCAACAATGATGGAATGTTGAAAGCCTGAATGAGTAAGAGAATTGGAGGAGTTTTTTTATTCCCCTTTATTCATTACTGGGATGAGGATGTTGCTGGCTAGGCAGCATTTATTGCCCATCCCTAATTGTCTAGAGGGCAGTTCAGAGTCAGCCACAATGCTGTGGGGCTGGAGTCACATGGAGGTCAGATCAGGAAAGGATGGCAGTTTCCTTCCCTAAAGGACATTAGTGAACCAGATGGGTTTTTCCTGGCAATTCGTAATTCTGGATATTTATTGAATTCACTTTCCACCAACTGCCATGGCGGGATTCAAACCCAGGTCCTCAGAATGTTTTCTGGATCTCTGGATTAACAGGCTAGCGATAATACCACTGAGCCGTCACCTCCCATAGATAATGCATAGATCTTGGAAGGTTACAGAGCTGAAGAAAGTTTGCAATGACAGGGAAAGGTGAAAATATGGAGGGATTTGAAAACCAAGATGATAATTTTAAGATTTGCTAAACTAGGTTCAACAGAAAGCAAAAACATGATGCATGAATTGGACTTTTGTGGTAGGTTCCAAGCAGCTGAGGTTTAGACCATAGGACAATAAGAAAGAGGTACAGGAATACAGCATTTAGCCCCATCATTCCTCATGTCCACTTTCCTGCCCTTTCTGCATACCTTCAATTCCCCCATTGATCAAGAATCTATCCATCTCAATCTTAAATATACACAAGGACTCTGCCTCCACAGATCTCTGTGGCAAAGATTTCTAAAGACTCACAACCCTCTGAGAGAAGGAATTCCTCCCTATCTCAATTGTATATTGGTGCTTCTCTATTCTGAGAGCATGCCCTCTGGTCCCAGACTCTCCCATGAGGAAAATAAATTCTGAGCATTAACCCTGTCAGCCCCTTAAGAATCCTATATGTTTCAATGAAATTACCTCTCATTCTTCTAAACTCCAATGAATAGAGTCCCAACTTGTCTAACCTTTGCTCATAACACAGTCCCATCATTCCAGGGATCATCCTCATGAACATTCTCTGAACTGCCTCCAATGAAACAATACTTTTCCTTAAATAAATGGACCAAAATTGCTCACAATACGCCTGACATGATTTCACAAGCACTTCATACAGTTGCTGTAAGACTTCCCTAATGCTATACCTCAACGCCCTTGAAATAAGGGCCAACATTCCATTAGCCTTCCTGATTACCTGGTGCACCTATGGGTTGGCTTTCTGTGATAGTAGGAACTGCA